GTAATTAATAGAATAGAAGTTAATTGATAAATAAAATCTATTTATGACATTATTTTTGAAAGCATCCTCACTTTACAGCATTTCTACACAAGTGCCTAAAACTTGTCACAGTACTGTGGCTTTGTAGGTAGGTTTCTAGAAAAGCATCTTGGAGACGTTGCCACAGTTCTTCTGGATCTAGCCTGTCTCAGTTTTTTCTGATTCTTCATGTCATTCCAGACGGACTGGATGATGCTGAGATCAGATCTGTGTGCAGCACTGGCTGTCGTCAGATTTCTTGTGCATACAAAAATCTTTCTGGATTATTACAATTAATGGCAAAAGTTAGTAAATGTAGACTGATATTTCCTACTGACACACTACAGCAAAAAATAAAAATAACTGGTTTAAAAACTTTTTTTTTGTGTACAATCTCCGGCTCTTTGTCATGTGATGCTAATCCACAGCAGCAGATGGCGCTCGAGCTGCGGCATCGCTGAGCTATTGAATAAACATGAACTCTACACATGAAACGACTTGTCTTTCTCACTTCCTGAAACATGACGGGCCATAGCGCTCAGAGGAAATTATTTAAGTTTCTCAAAGTGCTGCTGTTTAGTGTCATATTTTCGATTACAGTTTTGTTCCTTGTTGCCACAGTTAGGACGATTACATTTGATGTGGACGCGGGGCTTCAGCTGGGAAAATACAACAGCCATTTCTCTTAATTTAAGTCCACAACAGAGAAACAATCTGCTGGCAAATTTCAAAGGTAACAAACAACGAAGAAATACTCCGAAGCAGTACCTCTCTTCTGTCCCGACTGCTAACGCGCTGTTTGACGTGCAGCTCATCACGTGGCGTGAATAGCTGGATCAGGAAGACACAGAGTTAAATACACAGTTAATGGGGATAAGGGATGTGCTGTCAACATGCGAAGATTGCTGCTGTAGATATTACAAATAATGTAATGTCTTGTTTTCGTCTCTTTCATGGCGGCCATTCAGATTCCCACTGTGTCATTTTGACTCATTTACCGAGACTAATGTGAACAGCAGCGCTCCGCGCGAGTTCGACGGGCTGCTGAGGAAGGGTGAGAGACACGCGCTACCCGACAACAGCAAACAGCGCTGATTACTGTTGCCCCGTTATCTTTTCAGTCAGTACGACAATATTTTAATTATGAACTCATTTTAATTACCAAAAACATTTTTTTTTAGCTGTGTCCTACATTTTGAGTTAAATCCTGCTACCACTCGATCTTCCCCATTACAAAAAAAGTGAAGCACATTTTAAAATCGTACACATGAAGTGACATCATGTGGCCCTTTTCTGCAGCATGAAAAAACCTCATATTCAGTTTTATAAACATTTTAGATTGAACAGCATTTGACAAGTATAATTTAGGCTAATTCATCAACCCTGTTACTTGCATTGTGGTATATTTTAATTTTATTAGTACGATTTAACCAAATATTTCATTAATATGTAATCTTTTTATACTGTAAATATATTAAAATAAAATTCATAATTAGCATTATACAGGTGCATCTCAATAAATTAGAATGTCGTGGAAAAGTTCATTTATTTCAGTAATTCAACTCAAATTGTGAAACTCGTGTATTAAATAAATTCAGTGCACACAGACTGAAGTAGCTTAAGTCTTTGGTTCTTTTCATTGTGATGATTTTGGCTCACATTTAACAAAAACCCACCAATTCACTATCTCAACAAATTAGAATATGGTGACATGCCAATCAGCTAATCAACTCAAAACACCTGCAAAGGTTTCCTGAGCCTTCAAAATGGTCTCTCAAGTGAATTGCTGGGTTTTTGTTAAATGTGAGCCAAAATCATCACAATTAAAAGAACCAAAGACTTAAACTACTTCATTCTGTGTGCATTGAATTTATTTAATACACGAGTTTCACAATTTGAGTTGAATTACTGAAATAAATGAACTTTTCCACGACATTCTAATTTATTGAGATGCACCTGTATAATAAAAATAATTTCATTTTTATGATCAAACAGTGCTTGAAAACGATGTAATGTGAAACACAGTACAAGGCTTTAAACTTTTGGAAACTAAGCTATTTGGTAACAGGATAAAAAAAACACATAAAAAGTCATTTTTGAAGGTTAAGCACAAAACTGTATTCATTGAAAGCAGCTACTTGTCCTTTAATAATAATTCGATTTTGTCTTGAGTGTTATTTAAGGATTATTTCTTCCTCAGTCTTCCCTAAGATCTTCTCATCCAGCTTGGTCCAACATGAGATGGTGGGAAACTACAGCCACCTTTTGACGGTATCAGGAAGCGAGCCTGATCTGGAGCCCTACATGCTGCTGGCACACATTGATGTTGTGCCGGCCGATGAGGCGGATGGATGGGATGCTCCTCCTTTCTCTGCTCAAGAGCTCAATGGCTTCATTTATGGACGAGGAACCATTGACAATAAACAGTCTGTGATGGTACAGTGAATCAGCACTGAATCACTTTTCACTGAAACAATGGCACATCTGTTCAGTCCAACCTGATGCTAACTGTAATTATGTGTGTTTTGCAGGGGATCCTTCAGGCGTTGGAATACCTGCTGGAACGAGGTTACACTCCTCGGAGAAGCTTCTACATTGGCTTGGGTCACAATGAGGAGGTCAGTCTCAAGTGAATTTACTTATTTATATGGTTTTGTTAGGTGAATGGTTTACATGGGGCAGCCAATATTGTGAAGCTCCTGAAGAGTCGGGGGGTGAAGCTCCAGTATGTTTTAGATGAAGGCCTGGCAGTGCTGGATGGTGTCATAATGGCCTGGATGGGCCTGCTGCCCTGTGAGACTGTTATTTTGAGCGGTTCTACTAGCATAGTAATTTAGTAATTGAATTATTGTGTAATATTTGCCCTGTGTGTGTGTGTTTTGTAGAATAGGTATCAGTGAGAAAGGTAAGGCCACAGTAAAGCTGAGTGTAAGCAGCGCTCCAGGACATTCATCCATGCCGCCCAGAGAAAGCAGCATTGGCATCTTGGCATCAGCTGTCAACAGGCAAGTGGAAAATTAAATAATTATTAAATAATTGGAAAATGGGTCCAAATTATTCCCAAAACAGCTGCATGGCATCAGTATTATACTGAGCTAAATTTATTTAAGCCATATTGTACGTGGTAATATATTTTCCCAGATTGGAGGAAAATCCGATGCCCAGGCTGTTTGGTTATGGTCCTGAGCATGGCACATTTGAACACCTGGCCCATAAGGTAAAAAGCTGAGGATTTTACAGACCACATTTTGGGAAATACTGACCTGTATTCTGTATATGTGAAAACTATTTCTCTTCTCCATTTTCTTTTGTAGTTTGGTTTGCCTCTCAGATTAATCATGTCTAATCTGTGGCTCTTCTCTCCACTACTCAGCAGGTAGTTCATATTGGTTACCTTAATGCTCACTACACTAACTAATGTCATATCAAATTATATTTTATACAGGATTTTTTGGACCTCCAAAGACAATTGAATAAATGTATGGGATTTTTTTCCTCCAGACATGACTGTCATCACATCCCATTCTGTACTTTTATGAGAAGCTTGTTTGTTTTTTTTTAATGAGAATCTTATTACACAGGTCAGGCTTTTATTAAAAACGTTCTATTCATCAAAGAATCCTGAAAAACTGTATCATGGTTTCCACAAAAATATTAAGCAGCAAGTTTTTAACATTGATAATAATTAAGGTATTCATTATTTATTTATAAAGCACATTTAAAAACAACCCAGGGTTGACCAAAGTGCTGTACAGATAATAGAAGTCAAATAACAAAAAAAATAAAATAAATAAATAAATAAAATAATAATAATAATAAATTAGAAATCCACACTAAGCAAATGTGTTTTAAAGTTTTGATTTGAAAGAGGAAAGTGATGACACCATTCGGATCGAACCCGGTAGGCTGTTCCAGAGTTTGGGGCCTACTGTCGCAAAAGCTCGGTCTCCACGATGTTTTAACCTCGATCTACACACAGAGAGCAATCCAAGGCTGCCTGATCTAAGTGACCTAGAAGGATTGTGATAATGTAAAATGTCAGAAAGATACGCTGGTGCTAGGCCATGTAATGCTTTAAAAACAAAAACTAGAATTTTAAAATCTATTCTCAGTTTGACTGGTAGCCAATGCAGAGAAGTTAAGATGGGAGAGATATGATCAAATTTTCGACTGTCAGTCAGCAGCCTGGCTGCAGCATTTTGTACCATTTGAAGACGCCCGATGGATGATTGATTTGCACCATAATAAAGTGAATTGCAATAATCAAGGCGTGAAGTAATAAATGCATGGATATCTTTCTTAAGCACCAAATTTTCTGAAGGATAATTTCTGAAAAATCATGTGACACTGAAGACTGGAGTAATGATGCTGAAAATTCAGCTTTGCCATCACAGAAATCAGTTTCATTTTAAAATATATCATAGAAAACAATTATCTGAAATTGTAATAACATTTAACAATATTTCTGTTTTACTGTATATTTGATCAAAGTAATACTTGTTGAACATAAGAGACTGACCGACTTATATATATATATATATATATATATTCACACAGTGGAGATCATAATTAGAGAACCTGCAACTTCCTAAATTTTGAGGTCACTGCTTAGTCATATTTGAAGTTATCCTAACAGGAGTAAAAGTGCAGTTTTTTTAAAACATATTTCATGAGTTAAATATATTCTGAAGCACAGCATAAAAACTTAAATGAGATATTTGAAAAAGAACAAAATTAGAGAACACTTTCAGATACCTCCCAGTTAGTGGTGTTAATCCGGCACCTGGTGCTAATTTCTTTAATTATGTCAAACCCTATTTAACTGGCAGTTATTTAACTGGAAATTTAACTTTCCAGTTCTCACTGACTTTGTAAGATGGTGAGCCGTTCTAAAGTGACTGAAACCCTCCGACAGCAGGTTGTCCAGATGAAGGCCAATAACCATTTCAAGAGAAGCTGGTCATTTCAAATCTGTGATTTCTAGAATATTGCATCTTTACAATGTCACTAACTCATTCGAGTCCCCCAAAAAGGCTGGTCGTCCACAAAAGACAAATGCACGAGAGGACAGGATAGTGCAGAGAATCTCAATGGGCAATCGGTTCAACACTGCAGCTGGAATTGCTTGCCAGTTCAGTGCTGAACAGGGTAAGGATCTGTCTCTGCATGTTCAAGAGAAGTCGGACTGAAAGTGCACTCTGCAGTGACGAAGCCTCTCATCAGCTAAAAGAATCAAAAGTCTAAGCTCACCTTTGCTGAGGAGCATGTTGCGTGGACAGAGGAGAACTAGTCCAAAGTTTACTTTAAGATGGAGGAGGAAGTGTCCTGGTTTGGGGGATGTTTTCTCCAGCAGGAGTTGGGCCTCTTATATAGCTACATGGCAGGGTGAATGCAAATGTTTATCAGAACCTCCTGCAGAGTCCTGATCTAAACCCAACTGAAAATCTCTGGAAAATCCTTGGTGACAAAGTTATGGCTAAGAAACCCACTACAGTCACCAAACTGTGGAAGAAGAGCAGTGTGAGAAACTAGTGATGTCCTGCGGCCGCAGATGTGCTGAAGTCATTCAAAGCAAGGGCCTCTACACTTCCTACTCTATTTTTGACTGCTGTAACCTTCAGAAATTTTAGTTGTAATCTTTCTTTGTGCTACAATCATTGCTGTTCTCTAATTCTGATCACTGTGTTTTCCACAAAATAAAGTTTTTTTTTGTTAAAGTGTCTTGGTTATTTTCTAAAACACTGTTCTACTAGCATGGTATAGCCAGAACTAAAATTCCTTCAAATTTTGAACGATGAAGATTACATTACTTGTGAAAAAAATCAAGTGTTCATAAATTCTCTCATTTTGATCTCCACTGTATATATTCACCATATTATTAATTAATTGCAACATGTAAGCACATAAAACCCAGGAAAACCCTTGTCGTAGTATTATCAGTGTACCTTTCATATGCAGGGTGTTGGGAGAGAAAACCTGACACAAATGCTTTTGTGAGGACCATGACGGCCGTCACTGTTTAACTCAGGTGTAAAGGTGGGCCTCTCTTTTTTGTTGTAGTTCACAAAGTAGCATGAATGGATTTCTGATTATTTCTCTTTCTCTGACAGATTAACATAATCCCGTCATATGCTGAAGCTTTTGTCAATTTCCGTATCCACTGCAGGAGGTGAGAGGTCATGACTCATTCAGTTCTGATTGCTCATCTATTAACTTTTGCCCTCCACACCTTCTTCACACTAACCAGTTTCTCATGAATCATTCTGATTAAAAAACTGATTAACTCTAGAAGGGTAGTTCACCCAAAAATTAAAATTGTGTCATCTGTAACTCACCCTCATGTCATCCCAAACCTGTATGACCTTCTTTCTTTGGTGGAATGCAAAAGAAAATAATTTGAAAAATGTCTCCCATGTGTGTCCAAACAATGAAAATCCAGTGTTGTTTGCACCTCATTGTTCTTCGAAATATCTTCTTCAGTGATCCACAAAAAAAAGGAAAATTTATAATTCGGATAGACATAAGAGTGAGTAAATGATGACAGAAATTTCATTTTTGGGTGGGCTATCCCTTTGAACCAAACGCTATTTACAATGGTTAGAATCAAAACCCTTTCTGTCTGAACTATTTCATAGTTTGATCTTATGTCTTGTTTTAGGTTCTGGAGTTAGTCGAGTCACCTGTATCAGATGAGCGTGTGAAGGTAGAGCTAGTCGATGGATTCGACCCGTTGCCCATCAGCTCCTATGATGAGCAGGCGTTTGGCTTCCAGATCATAAAGAAAACGGTGCAGAGCATGTTTCCTCAGCTCACGGTGGCCCCTGACAAGTGATGCATTTCTGCTGAAGCACCCCTTACATATATCATTGACTTATGAAGAGCCACTTCTAGCTGATCTATGATTTCCACTCACAGGTATCTGTGTTGGCAACAGTGACAGCAGTCACTACAAGGATATCACGCAAGATAAATATCGCTTTGCTCCGTCATGGTTCAAACCAGGTGATCCTCAGAGGTAAGACACAGGAGAAATGCTCTTTGTAATACAATGGAGTATCCCAGCTTGAAATGTCAAGTTTTTATATGATGAAACATTCATGTTCCTCCTCTAGATTTCACGGTGTGAACGAGAGACTCTCCATTCAGAACTATGAAGAGATCGTGCTGTTTTACTCCCAGCTCATCCAGAATAATGACATCAGGAAGTTGCCGCCACCTCACAGTAGCCAGCATAAGCTGTAAATGGTGGGATGTTACTTACACTGATGAAGACATGACTAAACTAGTTAACTCTGGTTAAGTCTGCTTCAAAATGCATAATATCTATGACATTACATTGTCAGACATGCTGCTTTGGTGTTTTGGACTAACTTTCTGAGAGATTCATCTCAAACACCCTGAACTCTACATGGAGCTATTCTATCAAATGCTCTTTCTGTAGTTATCTTGCTAGTGTTTCCATTCATTCAGATTTTATGAAGGTTTAGGTTAGCGCTGTGGTACATTTCCAAAGCTTGCATTATGGGCCAACAGATTAATAATTAGATATTGTTATGGGCCAACAGATTAATAATTAGATATTGTGTTAAACTGAAGTGATTTACTATGACTGATTATGTCTGGCTCCATTAAACATTTACCTCTAGATATCAGATGCCTCTAGATCACAAAGCTGTAGCTCAACACAAAGGTATTGTTATTGGTTGTTTGAATGTTACTTTGAATCCTTAGTTATTTTTTGGCACTGATATGGTCTGTGCTGAGACTGAAAATTACTGTAAATGTTTAATTAAATTAAATAATTTAATTAAAATGCATTCATTTGAAATTTTAAGAAAGTTTAAATTAATAAATTGTTTTAATACAAACATAGATGTGTGTTCGGTTTTTTTAATAATAAATATTCAAATGTAGAAAAAAAATACATTTTATCTAAAAATATGTTTAGAAATTAACCATGTCACGAGGATACCAAATGCAGTCCCAATCTAAATGTAAAAAATTCAGACAATTAATGCTTAATCAGGTTAGTTTTATTCAGACATATTAGACAGGCTGTGCTCATTTCTTAAGACTTTCTTAAGCGTATTATTATTTTAAGAAAGTAGTATTATATCATTGACTGTCTGTTAAATTTAAAGACATGAACACTATACTTAAAGGTAAAGTGTAAAAATTTTGCACCACTACTGGCTGCAAATAGTAATTAAAAAATACTGCCAAAATTCCACAGGATATCTTTGCAGGAGTGGAACAGTGACAACACGAGGTTAATTCTTAGGCCAGTCACAGCACAAGCAGTCAGGATTGTAGACAGTGTTTGTAGGGCAGCTCTTTACAAAGGTCCTGCCATTAGAACACTGAATGAAGGTCGTCAGGTCATGTGTGTTTACATATAACCCGTCTGGTTTGCCTAGACAGAACTCTGACGGAGCTGTCGGGACAACATGAGGTCTTGTGGATTGAAATACGGCAGTGGATGCTGTTGTTGTGGTCTTACCAGGCTCATGTGTTGTATTTGGAGAGAGAGGTTGAATATCTGGAGGAGAAAATTTGAATTTGATATTTTATCTTAGTTTTCCAGTTATAGATCTAGTTTATTACACTGCTCTCTGGAATACCTGATTCTGATTGGTCAGTCATGGCATCCAGCTGTCTGATATTTCCTAATATTTGGCTTTGTCATAGTAACACTGTGACTGAAATCAGTGATACTGTCATATCTCATACATTAAGCTCTGTCACGTTTCATACAAATGCATCTGGCACCATCTTGCATGCAAGTTATCAATTTTCATGAAAAAGACCTCAAAAGGTCTTCCTTATGAAAATTACTGTAATATTGTTGCAGTGCTCATCTTGTTGCTCGGCCGATCATTTTGTACACTGTAATGGACTATTGTTGTTTTTTTTTAGCAAAAACTTTAAGATAAAGTACAGGTAATGAACCATTATGAACCAATCTCAAGTCAAATCAATATTTCACATACATGTATTAATTTAAGGAGTGTAGTCGTGCAATAAGCGGGATAATGTACACAGTCAGTCAGTCATTATCACAAAATAAATTGCGACAGGGTGACATAGAACTGACTGCAGATTAACTATTCTTTATAATCTTTGTACAGATGTACAAAGTAATTATGAGATAAAAAGTTGAAATGATGAAATACTAAGTCATAATAAGAAAAATTAATGGCATATTAAGTCAGTTACGAGATCAAAAGTCGAATTTATGAGATACTAAGACTTTTTGTCTCTTAATGATGATTTCATAACTTCGACTTTTTGTCTCATGATTATAACATTTTGTATCTCATAATTTCTAATTATTTTATAAATACGTTTTACTAACACACAACTTTTTTTTGTCTTCTGTGGCAAAAATGGGCTTGATTAAGATAAGAGACATACCATTATTAAGAAGTGTACGGAGATGTCCAATGAGAGGGTATGTGCCCTGCCCACAGAACTGTCCTGTAAAATCATCAAGATCCAAAATCTGGCATTCAAAATATAATATAAAATCTAAATACAAATACAATAAATAAATATAATATATTTATATATAATATAAAAATCTGTAAATACTGCAGTACCTTACAGAGCAGAGTGAACCTTTGCTTGTCTTCTGGAGGACTTCCACGAGAACCCGGATACTCCCAGTCCAGATCCAGACCATCAAAGCCATGTTTCCTCAGAAATGTGATGGAGGACTGAATAAACGTCTGCCTGTTTGCTGATGTGGACACCATGATAGTAAACCTGAAGTCATGGCGAGAAGTTTCATGAAAATGAAATAAAGTTATGTTTATCATACATCCCTCAAAATTCAGTGTTTTGAGCAGCATTCTTACTGAGCTGTGCCAAAGTTCCATCCTCCAACAGCCAAGAGAGTTTTCAAGTTGGGATTTCTGTCAAGTCAAATATTTGAATCATTATTTTCTGTATTGCTCTCTGACAAATCATCATTATTCAAAACTACATTACATAATGCATTCTATTTTATCAAATGCATTCACAAACAAAACATCAAGATATATACTTGTCCTTTAGTCCATTGAAAGATTTGTAGAGAGTGTCATCATTCCATTCGTACTTGATCAACTCATTCGCCTGATTAATGACGGAAAAAGCATAAATTAAATGAGTGCACAGATGTGGATCCACATTTTCTGGCAGGTACTTGCCAACGTCAGGTCTGTACTGAGACCAGTTTGTGAAGTAGCATGCGAGTTGGGAGGCCCATCCTGAAATAAATATATAAAATATAAAATAATATAATATATAATTATTCATTATAATAAATATTAATAGTAATGCATAATAATAAAAGCAATTATTATTATTTATCATTCCCACGATCCTAATAAGAAAAACGGTTTGCATAATGAATAAATTATTATTATTAGAATTATTATTATTATTAGGAATGAAACAACAAATTAAAAGAAAAAATTACCAAAGTGACACAATGCCAGGGAAAAGCCTGAAAGAAGGTAAAACCAAATGTTAACATATAAAACACTCTAAGGCCATGAAGCTCTTAAAAATTCATTCTGTAATATCAGCAATCACTTACCAGCTAGAAAAATGAGTTTGGTCATCATAATGTGATGGTGAATCAGTCAAGAAACTCTGTCTGCTACTGCTGTATCAAAGACAGGAGTTATCGTTTATATAACACACAGAACTCACTCCTGCATAATACCAATGATGACTAACCAAAACACACAAGAACTGAATTTCCCTGAAACAGCTGCTCACTGTCATCTGCCCTGGATATTGGCACACATGGTTAGGTAATCAACTGTTGTATTATAACAGTCTTTTGTAATTGTAATAGATTTTTTTTTTATCTTGTTAGCACAGCAGAAAGCAAGAGCACCTGAGTTGAAGCTGTAGAAATAGGATACTGGTGAAACATTTCCCAAGTGCTCCAGTGTGTATTTGTGTTTGAACTTTGGAGAGCCTCAAAGGTTTCTATTTTCAAAGTGTTTTTGTAGCATTGATCAATGTAGCCAATCACAACATTTTCTGTTGATTGTCCTTGAACGCAATTGCCAAGCGTTTAAGTTAGAGTCCACTCACCGCTCAAAACGCCACCGTTTTGTTCAGTGCTGCACGCTCGGTGTAACAAACAAAGTGTAACATGGGGTGAAAAAGAGATTTATGGAGTGAAAACAGTCTCAATACCTTCGACAAATATGCACAAAAGATCCACACACGTGCACACCAATCAGGGCTGTCGCTAGTGGGGTGAAAGGTGGTGACAATTATAGGGGCCCCCACTGCCCACTAAATCCAGTAGTTATGCTATATATATATATATATATATATATATACGCCTATATATGAATCATATTGGTATATATAATACAAAGTCAGCTTGTAAGCCTGAGAGTTTAATGAAAACCTCAAAAACATGCAATTTAGTTAAAAATTCTTTCCAAATATCTCCTCTCTCCCCCCAATAAAAATGTTTTAGTCTGATTATTAATAGGTGTGTTCGACTTGAAGCGGCGCTGCGCAGACCGATCAGTGTATGACATCAAAGTAGCACGAGAGTCAAACACACCTAATCTTTTCAGCTCAGTCAGCTACAAAAAGGAGAGGGACCCAATAAAATTGCAGGTCCCACCCCAGCTAGTAAAAAGAACCAATCAGTGTTGAGGCTGCTCCGAGAACAGTTGAAGTTAGAAGTAACGTTACAGTGGAAGTGAGACTAAATGAAAATGCTAGGGGGAAAAATCTGGGTACTAGTAACGTCATGAAAAGGAGAGGGAGGCCAGAAGAACTGCTTAATTAGTCTATCAAAACGTTCTTTTGCAAGACAGGTTAGTGCACTGTAAGGATGTCATTGTGATTTGTGATGGGATGCCAACTGGCTTTATAATCTCTCTCTCTCTCTCTAATAGCTGCAGTAATAACTGCTCAAGCCTCCATTCCTAGGTCTAAAATGACGTTTTGGAATTAGCAACGGAGGCGTGGGATGAGATGCATGTACAGTATAATCAGGCCAAAAACACACTGACAAAGGAGATCAGAGTGGCTAAGTGAAAAGCTGAAAAAACAGTTTTCAGCCATCAACCCTATCAGTGTGGAAAGGCCGACGTCACCAGTTACAAGACACTGTGGCGAATCAATAACTGTCTGATGACCTGAATGAGTTTTATTGCAGGTTTGCAAAACCCGGTCTCACACCCCAAAACACCCGTTCTGACCTTCTCTCCATACATTCATCAACACCTCCAGCAACCTCCCTCTCCCTCCCTCCTGCACTTACGATCTGTGAAGAGGATGTGTGTCGGGTCCTCCACAAACAGAAGACAAGGAAAACACCAGGCCCAGACGGCATTTCACCAGCCTGTCTGAAATTCTGTGCTGACCAGCTGGCCACTATATTCACAAAGATCTTCACAGATCACTGGAGCTGTGCTTCAAATGCTCCACCATAATCCCCATCCTAAAGAAACCTAAAATCACAGGACTGAATGACTACAGACCTATTGCTTTAACATCTGTGGTCATGAAGTGATTTGAAAGACTAATGTTGACCCACCTGAAGGACATTACCGGACCCTTGCTGGAGCTTGTACATTTTTACTTTTCGGGCAATAAGGTCGTTTGATGATGCTGTCAATATTGTACTGCACTGCATCCTGCAACCTCTGGAAAAACCAGAGACTTATGTGAGGATCCTGTTTGTGGACTTCAGCTCGGCTTTCAACACCATCATCCCTGCTCTCCTCCAGACCAAATTAGCCCAGCTCTCTGTTCCCAGCTCTATCGGTCAGTGGATTACCAGCTTTCTGACAGACAGGCAGCAGCTAGTGAGGCTGGGGAAATTCATATCCAACCCCTGTAACAATCAGCGCCGGTGCCCCCCAGGGATGTGTACTCTCCCCACTGCTCTTCTCCCTCTACACCAACGACTGCACCTCTAAAGACTCTTCTGTAAAGCTCCTGAAGTTTGCGGATGACAGTCAACGGCCTCATCCATGATGGTGACAAGTCTGCATATAAAAGGGAGGTTGAGGAGCTGGCTGTCTGGTGCAGTCATAAACTGGAGCTGAACATGCTCAAAACAGTGGACATGACTTTAGGAGAAACACCCCAGGATTACCCCCACTCACCATCATGAACAGCACTGTGGCAACAGTGGAGTCATTCAGGTTCTTGGGCACTATAATCTCACAGGACCTGAAATAGGAAACTCATATAGACTCAGTTGTGAAAAGGCCCAGCAGAGGTTGTATTTCCTTTGCCAGCTGAGGAAGTCCAACCTGCCACAGGAGCTACTTCTGCAGTTCTACTTTACAGTCATAGAGTCTGTCACCTGCACTTCTGTAACTGTCTGGATCGGCTCGGCTAGTTTTGCATGTCATTTTGTTTTAGTCATAGTCATTAGTCTTGCATGTCATCCTGTTGACGCACAACTTGCAAGTCCTTAGTAACTGATAAAACAGAGATGGTGTGCACAACTAAAATGTACAAGGTAACCTACCACCGTCCATACTGTTGTATTGTTGAGCAGGGTCACAACCAGTGATTTACACACATCTGATATGAGAACCACAATGGACAAAGCAAATGTCAAAGACAGTGTCAGGTTAGAACACTTGTTCTGTATGACCATTTTATCATTATGGCCCAATAAACTGACAGGATGATCACAGCTGTCATAACTTTAATTTTTTCATTTTTATGATTAAAGAACCCCCCTGCAGTTTCTTCTAAAAAGACCTTAAATGTGTATGTAATGGATTACTTTACTTACTTACTCATTCAGCTGAACCGATTCATTCAGTCCAGACTATAGTTCTGATAGCTATTAACTTTTGCTCTTCACACCTTCTTCACTCTAGAGGGGTATTTCACCCAAAAATAAAATTGTGCCATCAGTTACTCACCCTCATGTTGTTGACAGGTCATGGTTATGTGCATCCATTCATGCATCTGCATCATGCTTTTATCCCAAGTGACTTACAGTATACACTACAATAAATAATGTCATATTACATACATACTGTATGTATTTCTATTCAAACCTTATTACCCTGACCTCTAAGTACTGATTTTTGTCACTGCGTCTGCCATGAGTAACGATTAGTCCAGCCAATCACTGTAAGTTTGTTGGCTGAATAACAAAGTAAACGAACACAACCTACAGTATTGCTAAACACAATTACGCTTCAACTGAGCTCCTTCAAAGTCCATAAGAGACTGTACACAGTTAAAGAACACGCTATGTGAATAAATGTGAATAAATCAGACCAAATGGGCATGATGATAATGAATGGATTGTTAATAAGTGATGAATAGTTTTCTAGATTATTATAATTTTCAGGAGCTTCGAGCGTCTTTTTGTATTTTAAAATGTTAATGGGTGCAGAGGACATGACTGAACTAGTTAAGTCTGCTTCAAAACGCCCAGTTAATATTTATGACATTACATTGTCAGACATGCTGCTTTGGTGTTTTGGACTAACTTTCTGAGAAATTCATCTCAAACACCCTGAGCTCTAAATGGAGCTGTTCTAGTTACCTTTATAGTGTGTACATTCATTCAGATTTTAGTGCTGTCGTACATTTTCAAAGCTTGCATTATGGGCCAATAGATTAGTGTTAGACTTAAGTGATTTATTATGACTGATTGTCTAGCTCTCTAAACATTTGCCTCTGGATATCACTTGTATCACAAAGCTGTAGCTCAATACAAAGGTATTGTTATTGGTTGTTTGAATGTTACTTTGAATCCTTAGTTATTTTTTGGCACTGATATTATATGGTCTGTGCTGAGACTGAAAATGACTGTAAATGTTGTAAGAAACTATAGTCTGCCCCGACCCAGATTCCACTCCACAATAGATGTTTGATCATGCTTGTTTCCCAAAATGGCTTAATTATTATAGAGAGGATGAAAGTCAACAGTTATGTTCACTTTCCATGTAAAATAACAAAGGAAAATGAGTGCTTATCAGGTTAGTTTTAATCAGACAGACTGCTTCCTTTTTAAGAATTTCAACAAAATGTAGCATTTTTTTTTAATTAAAGTAGTATTATATTATTAGCTGCATGTTAAATTGAAAAACAGACTCATAGTATCATTCACAATCATTTATATGATATACAGTCGTGGCCAAAAGTTTTGGCAGTGACAAATTGTGTTTTGCAAAGTTTGCTGCTTAAGCTGTTGTGGTGTTCATAATGTTTCTAGATTATTGTGTAGAGTGATCAGATGCATTTTAAATAATTGCTAAAAACTGTGAATGAGTACTAGCCAGGTGAAGTCACTATCATACTAAATAGACTGTAAGAGCAGACTGATTGCTATAAAAGGAGGGAAGAAACGCTTCCAATTATTGTGTTCTTGTTAATAAATTTTGTGTTTTGCAAAGTTTGCTGCTTAAGCTGTTGTGGTGTTCATCCACATTGTTTCTAGATTGTGTAGAGTGATCAGATGCATTTTAAATAATTGCTAAAAGCTTCATTGGCCAAAAAAAAAAAACACTTTCACACAAAAAAAAACAAATTTCACTGTTTTTTGATCCTGACACCAAATGACCAGCTAACATTAATTGACTAACATCAGCAGCACATGTGAAAGTGTGAATGAGTACTAGTCAGGTAAAATCACTATCATACCAATTAGATCGTAAGAGCAGACTGATTGATATAAAAAGGAGGGAAGAAGCGCTTCCAATCGTTGTGTTCTTGTTAGCAATGGCAGCAGCAGGCTGGTATGAGAGCATCTGCACAGACAGTGAGGCCAAGACTTATGGACAACGGCCTGGTGTCAAGAAGGGCAGCAAAGAAGCCACTTCTCTCCAAGAAAAACGTCAAAGACAGACTGAAATTCTGCAGGAAGTACAAGGATTGGACAGCAGAAGACTGGTGCAAAGTTATTTTCTCTGATAAAGATCCCTTCTGACTGTTTGGGACATCTGGAAAATCGATTGTTCGGAGAAGAAAAGGTGAATGCTACCATGAGTCCAGGATTTGGCCCAGAAGCTAATATCCAGCATGCCAGAGCAGATTGCAGAAGTTATGAAGAACAAGGGTCAACTGTAAATATTGACTTCTTATATTTTTTTGCCAATAAAAGCCTTTAAAACTTATGATATGCTTATCATTGTTTTTCAGTATACCATAGAAACATGTGGAAAAATAATCTACAAATACTGAAGCAGCAAATTTTACAAAACACAAAATTTATGTCACTGCCAAAACTTTTGGCCATGACTGTACATGATGTTATATTTCAGAAGCTAAGAATACAGTTGGATATAAGGCCTTCTTACAGTATTGAAGTTGATATTGTCTCCTGTGTCTCCAGAGCCACGGTACAGAGGACTGTTGTGCCCAGTGACACTTTCCCATGAGCCATGGAAGTCATAGGTCATCACATTAATGAAGTCCAAATACCTGCATTACCAGAAGGTAAACGCAAATTCAGAGTCATCAGTTCAGACTCAAGACGTTCAACCAAATAAAATCATTAAATATTAATTCGATTGATATTTTAAGGTATGTCGTCCAAAACATATTCGTATTTCATGATTCAAAGTGAACAAAAACTCTTCAGAAGACATACTTGGCAATTTCTGCAATTTCATAACCAGCATCAATGGTTCCTTTCCCAGCAGCCACTGCAGCAGTGAGCATGAGTCTGGGGCGTCCAGTGGCAGCACTCTCTGCCTCATAAGCTTCCAAGATCTCCTGTTATAGTCACAGGTTTGCAGTGGATTAAAATCTGTTTTTTTTTTAAATAATATATACAATATGATATATAGGAAATATTTATTAAAAAAAAAAAAAAAGAAAAAGAAAACGACATGTTAAAAATCTGGCATTCAAAATATAATATAAAAACAAATAATAAACACACACACATATATACACATATATAAATACTGCACATTTGTAAATACTGCAGTACCTTACAGAGCAGAGTGAACCTTTGCTTGTCTTCTGGAGGACTTCCACGAGAACCCGGATACTCCCAGTCCAGATCCAGACCATCAAAGCCATGTTTCCTCAGAAATGTGATGGAGGACTGAATAAACGTCTGCCTGTTTGCTGATGTGGACACCATGATAGTAAACCTGGGGGGTGTTTCATAAGACGCTAAGAAAAGCGGGGATTAAAGTCCAAAACCTGACTTGAAATAACCTAACAAATCAATCGGGACTAAAGCGGTTTCATAAACGACCATTTAAGTTCACGCAATCTCACGAATTCGATTCAGGTTCAATGAGTCAGGATAATTTGATGTGCACGCTTATTATCATGGATCAAATCGATCCACCATGGCAAACAGTGAATATTTGTGCCGTTTAATGCATTTGAGACATTGTGTTTTCCTCAGTGCATAACTGACACGTCACAGGCAGTGTTGCCAACTAATTTTCAGGGGAAGTTGCTAAAGGAAGGTTGATTTGTTGCTAAAAGTTGCTAAATGATGTTGTGATGTCATTGCACGACGACATAATCACGTAATCACAATGCAAAATTGTTTCACTGCATCAAATCTCAGCAAAAAATATATTTGATATATGTTAATTTAGATTTGTTTGTAAAATAATATGTATAATGCAATATTAAAATATAAACAACTAATTGTAAACACAACATTGAATTATTTAACACTTACACCTTTTTTTATTAGCTAGTAAACTAGTAAAACTGAATATTCTGAACAATTGTAGTTTTAAGCAGTGTAGCCTAAGTTACACTCTAATAAAAGTCTGTAAAAGTAGAGCACAATCTACTATGTTAATATGAAGGAATTTTCTGTAATTATTTTTCACTGGTTTTTTTTAACCTGCATTTGAAATTACACATTGTATTTTGTGTTTTGGGGATACAGGGTTACAACGGATAATGGGAAATGGATAACAGATAATGTCTTGGTCAATTAAAATCTGCTTTGCAACGATTTGTATCGTGAAAAGTGCTATACAAATAAACTTGAATTGAATTACTAGAACCTTTTCCATTTCTCTAGATATTTTTCTTACAGTGTACTAACTGATCAACAATTGCAGGTACAAGGTACTCACAAGGTGTTTCATAAATGAACAATTATTTAAGGGGAACAAATATGAGGCAGGGCAACAACTCACTGCGTGATGGAGCCTATAGAGCACGTAGTTAGAATGTCCCTAAAATTCACAATATGGGGCAAAAATGCCCCTGTTTGAGTTTGTCTCATATTTACATCATATAGTTCAGCAATATCACACAAGCAATAGGCTAAGTGCAATATCACACGAGTGCAAATGTGATACTGATCTTATACAACAGTTCAGTACTCTAGATATTTTTCTTACAGTGTACTAACTGATCAACAATTGCAGGTACAAGGTACTCACAAGGTGTTTCATAAATGAACAATTATTTAAGGGGAAGTCATAGCCTAATGGTTGCGAGTTCGAGTCTCAAGGCCGGCAGGGATTGTAGGTGGGGGGAGTGAATGTACAGCGCTCTCTTCCACCTTCAATACCACAACTGAGGTGCTGGCAGGTACTTGCCAACGTCAGGTCTGTACTGAGACCAGTTTGTGAAGTAGCATGCGAGTTGGGAGGCCCATCCTGAAATAAATAAATAAAATCATAATATAATTAGGGCTGGTAATTTAACGCGTTAATTAGATTAAGGTGAAAAATAACGCGTTAAAATAATAAGGCATTTAACGCACTTGCCCTGCCCCAGGCCAGACCTATGTGGGTCATCTGACATTTCATACAATTGACTGATGACAAATATGAGGCAGGGCAACAACTCACTGCGTGATGGAGCCTATAGAGCACGTAGTTAGAATGTCCCTAAAATTCACAATATGGGGCAAAAATGCCCCTGTTTGAGTTTGTCTCATATTTACATCATATAGTTCAGCAATATCACACAAGCAATAGGCTAAGTGCAATATCACACGAGTGCAAATGTGATACTGATCTTATACAACAGTTCAGTAAGTAAGAAGTTAATATTGTGTTATTTTAGACACAATGTTGTCTGTTTTGCTCAATTTTGCCAATGAAAATATAAAAGGCAAAGCAGAACTGTTCGTCTCCGAGCAACACACAGCGGCATTTCATTTCTTAATGCACGTTTTGAACGAATTGGTGAACCATTTGGCACAGACCGATCGGTGTATGACATCAAAGGCCCGCGAGAGCGATTCAAAAGCATGCAGAGTCGTGTGCTCTCTATAGCTCTTGAGGTACTTTGATGTCACAAACACCGATCGGTCTGATGGTGATGATCCGCTTCAAATCGAACAAGTAATGATTCAATGAACCATTCATAAAGAACCATTTACTTCACTCCTGAATGAATCAGCCATTTGAACGAATCAAATGAATGAATAAATGTGCGTGAGCGAGCGCTGCTGCGCGCTAAATAGATGGAACGTAATAGAATAATTAGCATTTACATTTAGCAGACGCTTTTATCCAAAGCGACTTACAAATGAGGACAATAAAAGCAGTCAAAACTAA